TGAAGTTCGACGTTTGAACTGAGCCTATGTAACTTCTGGTTTGTTTCAGGATAACCTTATCTGAGGGTGTATAACTAAGATTTTTCTGGTATAACAAGATGCAGATTTTAGTCTGTTGTGAAATGTGGTCGTCCGGGTGAGTGTAGTCTTGAGAAAGACTGTTCGTTGGTGGTGAATGACGTTTCAACAACCTGAGGGGAAGTCATCTTCAGAGTCCAGAGCAGATTTTACTCAAGGCAGATGATATAAAGAAGAGATAACTAGCTAAATACTAGTGCGGGCTGCATCGGTGTTTCTAATGAAACAGTAATGATAAAAAAGGTAAATTATACACATCCATGAAAAGATGAAAAAACTCACTGACGTTTCAGATGCTAGTCCTTCATGAAAAAACTTACTCCGAAATGTCTTTTCAGGGTGTATAATTTACCTTTTTATCTGTTACTGTTAGATGATATAAAGTAATAACCACTTTGGCTTGCAAACAATAGTAAACAATAGGTTGCAACATGTATTAGCTACTTAGGTGTGAAATTCAACAGCTTATATTATGCAGAATTCCACTTTTGATATTCAAGATTTTTTGCTAAAAAATATACCTGTTATGAGTCCGAAGAAAATTGATTGCAACTAGCGAACTGCATGTTAAATAATTCTTTCTTTTATTTTTGAAAATATGCAATAAAATATACATGGTATTTGCTAAAACATGAACAGTTAGCAAAGATTTATTTTTGAAACTAATATACAACATGTATGTACATCATATAAAACAGTTTTTGTTTGATGGAAGATTGTCTTCGCATAAAATATAATACGATTTAAGATGGAATTTTTGCTGTTGATAAAGTCAAGGATAAAAATAATGGCTGCTTAATGGCTGGTCATGATGACTAGCCGTATTGGCATAATCAACCTGTSACCAGTCAAGAGAACTGGCCTAAGAGGTGTTTGGAAGGATGAGTATGATTTTATCTGGACATTGTCCATTGACGAGAAATTTTAGCCCTGAAATTGTTTACAGTCAATAAGCAAAAATAGAGTGCTTTTAGTCTCACTGTTGAATAGTTAGATAAATTTATCTAACTTAGATAACTATTTAGTTGACGTCACCTTAAAGGTCATACTAATCCGGGGGGTTGTTTTACCAGAGGATGAGTGAATAGACATTCATTTGTATCATCGTTTCTCCCCCTGATCTCAGTAGCTGTTTACTTGTAGTTTCAAATTTATGTGAGGTCAGCTAAAATAGTAAATAACTTATCTAATTTAGTTGACGTCACCTATTCAACAGTGAGACTAAAAGCACTCTACAATTTGAGTAATAATTTTTGAACAGGTTATGCTCTCTCCATGTTTCTGTGAGCTTGACAGCCTTCCAGATGTTGTCAAAAATGTATTATAAATAAATAAAATTAATCAATCTAAAATGATTAGAACCAAGGGGCCAGGAATTTTCAGCAACGGTTTAATACCTGTGAGTAAAAGAACACAAATAATTCATCAAATTATTAACAATCATAATAACTTTATTAATATCTCAGTCTTCTAGCTGGGCAAAAGTACCCTACTAATCAGGGAGATGAACATGCCTTCTGATCCTTTATTAATAGTTGCATGTTCTGTTATGGCATTTTCTCTTACTGCTGTGTAGTTAAAGCCTGGGTTATTGTTTTGATTCACGTAAGTGCATATTAGAATTCACCTTTTCGGCAATAGCTGTCACGTCGTAAACACTTTGTTGGATTGAGTTATGGTCACCAAAAAGTTTGGACATCGTTCTTGGATTCCCATACAAATTCACTGAGTTGAAAGAGAAAATTAAGATAGATTTCTTTAGTTAGCTCTCTTAACAGCAGTTAGAAAAGCTTCAATCAATTTAGAAAAATGATATTTTACTTGTATTTAGAGAACTAACTAAACAAACCAAGTAAATAGTTSATTTAAAGTCAGTACATTTGTACGGAAATCAGGGAACAATGTCCAAACTTCTTGGTGACCGTAACACAATCCAACACAATTGAGTTTTTTTTGATGTGTTGATCACTCTCTTTCCACAAAGGCTTTTCTCTTGGTATTTTGGTTTTACATCTTTCAGTAAGAAATCAATATGACATTTAAGTCTGATGTTGTATAGTGTTTTCCAGTGACGTCACAGCAGCCATGTTGGTGTACCAAAACAATACATTTTCTATCCTCTGGGAATTGAATTTTTATGCAAAAACTGTGCAGAAAGTTTCTATCGTTTGGTAACCAATATGGCTGCTTTGTCATGTGAGTGAAAATGCTCTATAGTGAACATAGTGATAGTAATAATAAGTACCTTATAACAAAAGGACCTGGATTCCCCATTCTACTTTACCAGCCAGATGTAATTCTCAAGTAGCTTTTCTTCGCTTAAATGCTGTAAAACGAGACAATTTTTAAAATCAAATAAACACAGAAACACAAAACAGTCGTTTGTTTTAAAAGAGTGCTCTGTGCAATAACTGATCATAGTGTGGAAAACCAGAAAGCAAGCTTTACAAATCATTAAACGAAAAGTATTAAGGAAACTTTAAAAAGGCATGTCTTATTTGTAGTAATTATTGCCGAGATAATCTCACTAGTGAATGGGTGATTTACATGTTAATTTTCATGAATTTAACAGCAGTATAAACATTTCATGTCACAGCTTTAGACAGGTTTTTTTGGGGGGGGGGGGGGGGGAGCACAACGACAGACATACAATACTGTGTCCATTATAGATGGGGCTTTTACTGGAGGTTTTACCAACAATTAACCTTTTAAACTTGGATATTTTTTTCCACTTTGAACCACGAGTCAATCATTCTCTAGGAAATAGAAATCTTTGTGCAATGTGCATCAATAGAGCCCTTGTATGTGGCGTCAAAGCAGCTCAATTTGGAGGAAAAAACAAAAGAATTTCAATCTCCTGAGAATATGGAGACATTGCTATGTCCTCCAAATTGTGCTGCATTCCAACCTACTGCAAGGGGTCTACCATCTATGCATTTATCTTTCAAGTGTTGCTGATAAACAAGTAATGCTCTCAAGGGAATGACACATGGCCCAAAATGGAAACATATCATAGCCAAGTTACTAAGGTTTATTAGAGGACACTGTTAGTCAACGATGTAGATAATTAAGTTTTCAAACAATGTGGAATTGACACTATTACATACTTTATCATGAATGCTGTTAGTTTATTGTTTACCCTTCATTAGACTAGTAACTTTACTAAGATGAGTATACTGCATCATACTGCAATTTTCCTTTGGCCATGGAATCTTTAAAAGTAGTTTTTCAAGTTTTAAAACTGGTGCTTTAACAATTACAAAGCTCATTATATTGCAATCAATGATGAATGCTTTGGTAACTGATAAAAATTATCCAGCTTAAACTACCATTTCCTATTATTTCAAAAGTTAATGAGAACCCTGGTGCATTATTCCAAGATCCAAGGACAGCTGAAATAACTGAAATAATAAAATTTTAATTTTGACAATAATAAAATGTTGAGATTTTTAGGCTAAAACTACAATTTCTGAGCTTGCAAGAAGTTGCTAGAAATTTCATGGCCAAAGGAAAACTGTAGTATCTAGGCATGTGCAGGTGGGATCAGTTACAACCGTGACCTAACTGTGAATTAATAATGAGTATATTATATTTGGAGTGCACACTAAACCACTTAATACCTTTATACACTTTACTGTTAATGTAAATAAAAGTGTTTACTTTAAATACAATCAATAACCATTTAAAACTTCAAAGTATTAGATGTGACTAATGAGTTATGGAAAACAAAAACTTACACTAGCTGCGAAGTCTGCAGCCTGTACTTGTAGTTTAATTCATTTTCAAGACCACTTATTTGTCAAAAACGTTTTGTATTGTTGCATTAAAGAGGCACAAACTGAACATCCACAAGTATCTGAGGGCAAAAAATACTTGAGCATACAATGTTTTACGTGGCTAGGATAAATTTGCAATCCTACATTTTTCCATACGATTTCTTATGAATTTTTTTATTTTTATGCCATTTCTATAAACTTTGTTTTCTTACTAATATTGAGGTGCTCTTTTCATTTTTAGCGTTTATTTTAGCACATCTACTCACATGACCAAGTCGTCCAATCACAAAGGGTCTTGATGTATGCATAAACATGCTACACTCTTTTCTACAGGGCTAATAATGAACTATTAAGACGTTCATCAAACTACAAAGTACAGACTGACTAAACTATAGCAGAGGACCAGTTATATTGTTACTATGCTATGAAGTAGTTATTGTGACTGTTATATATCTGACTGTTTATGAATTAAAATGGCTAAAAAGCTTACTAAGAATTGAACAGTCTGATTTAAGATATTACAGCTTTGCTTCAATGACAAAAGAAATCAAATGTCCTTGGAGATTCAAATATACAACAAAATTTAAAAATTAATGAAAGATCAGAATTAAGTATTTTCCATTTTTTGTTGCTATCAAAAATAAAAAGGGATCTTAAAGTTTCAGTTAAAAGTTGTTTCTTTTTGTGGGGGGGATTTTCCAATATTTTATGCGTTATTCCCTTGAGTATTATTTCTTTAATTCCTTTTTTTTTTTCATTTTAAATTTTTATAACTTAAGGCTTGAAATGATACCAAAACACAATATCACATGAAAGCATCTAGTGAATAAAGGTTTCTATAATCTTTCAATTATCATTTTTATGCCAAGGACAGTTAATTTTGCTTGATGTCACTGTAGCAGAACTTGCTTTAATTGTTTTTTATTTGCCCTTCAGTTAGAAGATACATTCTATTACCTGTTACAAGACAGTCTGTCTGTCACATATCCATCCTTGTCAACATTCGGTTAGTGGATTCCAGTTTAGGTTCATTTGATTGACAGAAGTAACTTTCTCGTCTTGATAGCTTTAGTCGTGGTTTAGTCTGATGAAAGGCTGCTTGATGGCTTTACAGGGTTTCTCAAATTTAGCTTGATTATAATTTACATTTTTTTGAGATATCCACTTATTGATAGGTAACTTACGTACGTCAAGAGTTTAATATAGTAGACTCAAACTGAACAGACCCTTTTTGAGTTCCAAATTACCGCTGTGTTTCTTGATTACAGACTCATTTACTCAGGCTTAGCCTCTATTTTGTGTAGAATATCCACGTGTTCCAGTCAAGGTCCGTCAAGTTTCAAAGTGTTTGTATTGTTTAACTTGTGCATTCTTTACTTTACCGTTGGTATTTGGGAGTAATTAGAGACTGATTCAAGGCTTAGCCTGAGCAAATGAGTCTGTAATCAAGAAACACAGTGGTAATTTGGAACTCGAATAGGGTCTATTAGCAAATTAAGCAGAATACCAGAAAACAGAGGTAGACGGTCAAATGCTTTAGTCAAGATTTTAAAGATATTATTACAGCTAGCTACATGAAGTTATATCATAAAGGTTTACAATCTCATGACGAATATTTGTAAATCATTCCCTCCCATACTCCCAGTACTCACATGGAGTACTTCTGATTGCAGTAGCGTAGTGAGGGGGGGCACCGGGGTGCATGTGCCCCCCCCAAATTTTTAAACAACTTTTTGAAAAAAAACAAAAAACAAAAACAAAACATATTAAACCAAAAAGAAAGAGTAAAATAAATTATTGCAACTTAGGAAAGTGCGCTGTATAAATCAGTTTATATGAATATGAATTTGTTTCTTTTTTGTTTGTGTGTTTATTTTTTTATTTGTTTTATGGGGGGAGGAGTAACTTTTTTGGGGGGTCAGTGCCCCCCCAGCTCCTAGGTCCTCGCTACACCCCTATCTGATTGGCTGAATTTATACAACTGCTATGTAGTCTCAAACAGAACAAATTCAACCAACCATAGCCAACTATTTTAATAGATTACAAATATTACAAAGATGTCAAAGGTTTGAGAATGTGAAACTTAGAATGTTGAATSCAGTGAGTTTGTTAATAAGAAATGTTATTCCTTTTATTAATTGCAGAGTAAATTCTAAAACTTAGAATATTACTTTAAATTGAGACCCCTTAATTTTAAAAATTGAATATAACTAAAATATATCCAGAAAAGAATATTTTATTAGACAAACTGGTCATATAACAAAATTTAAAAAATGGATACATAGACAATAGCAAGAATATCAAAATATAAAGAAAAAGTTATCAAAATTATTGATATTTCATCATCTTAAAGCATTATGTAGAAATATAAATGCTTTGGATACAAAAATACTCTTATGAGCAAAAATCCTTTTTTCTACTATTTTTGTTGTTGTTTTTGCTCTTTTTTGTGTGTGAAAATGTTCAAAAATATCTTTTAGAGCATATTTACAAACATACAAAACTAGCAGCTTGTTTCAATAATATTGCTTTTTTAAAAAGAAAATACCTGTAGGTATAGGTTGTATTTTATGGGATGCCTTCTGTTGTGTGTAAAACTTATTATTCAAGTTTAGTTTTTAATTGAATTTATAACAAAACAAGGTAATTTGAAAAAATATTTTCAAAAAGGAATGTTTATCAAATGTTAAAAAAAAAGTTTTTTCTGAAGAAGAGAAGTTTAGAGAGGCTAAGGACAAAGAATTGGGAGAATAAATGTTTAAGTTTCAAAGCATTCTTTAGTGTTTTTAATCTAATAATCTAAGAAATGAATAAAGAGTGTTGGTGGTTTTAATATTTGGCTTCTATTAAACATTTAATCAGAATATTATGAGCAATACTATCAATCAAAGTTTAGTTATTATACATGACTCAATACACATATTTTATTCATTTAGATCTTTATTTCAAGCAAAATGTTACGTAACATTTCAAAACATTTCTTGGATTTTAAGACTGTTTAAGTTTGAAGCAGTTAATAGAGTTTAATTTTAATTTTTTTAATGATCTTTGAATGACTAACTCCCCTCCTTGGTTGGAATTTTACAGAAAAATCCAGTGAAAAATTTTCATCCTAAAAAATACCTTCTCACAGGAATGAGAAAAACTCAAAAACTTATACCACAAAATTAGATGAATAAAGGAATGATGGTTTAATGAATTCAAGATTTTGTCTAGTCTAGTCTATGAGAAATTTATTTTTAAATCTTTTAACTTTAAGATTATTTCAACATTATTCATATAATTTAGAGTTTATTAAGGGAAAGATTTTTAGTTTATGGTGATTTAGTTTGCATAGATTTATTCTTAGCGGGGAAAAAGATCATGGCACCAGGGTTTAAACTAATTTATCGGTTTACTACACAGAAGGCATTTTGCATCTTAACTTTAGCTATCACTATAGAGTTTGGAGTTTGTATTCGCTGAATACATGTCGTAAGAATATCACACATTCACACACAATATCATTGAAGTTTAACAAAACGTAGTTGGTCAGTATTGATTATTATATGAAAAAATATCTGACCATCACATACAAAATTGGCATCAAAAATCCAGCCAAAAGAGATCTCAATTCGGAATTTAGATGGTAAAAGATCAAAGCTTAGTAGGGGTATGTAGCTTCACGAATTAGTTTCTTTGAGGACCGTGTCGTCTTGTAGTTGGCAGCCATACTTGCAGGAAGACGAGCTGGTGCTAAAATAAGGAAGTTTACAGATTTATTGAGCTTAGTKTTACCTGAGAATTACTTATAGTACTCCTTTGGAAATTATGATTTAAGCAACAGGAGTTAAGACCAAATTTTAGTTCACAAAAATCTTTCGTTTAACGGAAGTTAATGCAAAAGGGAAGAAAATTAGCGGAACTCTTTATTTCCCATTACGAATTCAAGCTTTCGTATTCTAACAATAAACAGAATATTATTCTCCTCGTGAACCTTTATGGTTTTAAGGTCATTACATGTAGGATCAAATTATTCTTTTAGAGGGTAAAAAGGTAAATAATGTGTTCATTAAGCAAAAAATGGATTTAATTTAGTTTAAAAAATGGAAAAGTTGGTTCATTCTGATTCACTAGATAAACTTTAAATGAATATAGAACGATCAAATAGAATTTTCATTTAATAACTTTATAGTAATAGATTATTGACTGTGTTAGGACAGTCTGACATTTCATAGAATTATATATTTAGCCTCTAGTGGCATTGTTTTAAGTCTAATTTATAGTGTAAAATGCGCTTACCTGGATATGCGGTCTCATAGATTTCTGCYGGAGCTACCCCTCTACCATAATCATAATATGTGACTTCCCTAATAGAAAATGTATTGAATACAACAGATATATCTAATGCATCTACAAAATACCACTGGTTTTATGGCAAAAAGTTGAGTGAGTGCTATCAAGACAAAAGTTGCAACAGGTGGCAAAAAATAAATTATCTTACAACCATGATCCCCTGTAAGGAGCTCTTCTGTGAGGTTCACTCCATATATGTATGATTTTTTACGGAGGTAAACGGGAGTACAATGGGAGTAAAGAGCAACGCATCAACTTACACACACGTGGCTCAGTTGTGACTTGAAACCACAACCCAAGGTGAGAATATGTGGCTTAGTTTGGACTTGACCCTGCAACCCAAGGTGTGAAATACACAGCAGCGTAGCAGTGTATGCAAACTATGTCACCAGTGTTATGGGAACCACAGAAAGCTACATGGGAATGATTCATTTGATAGACTGTATTTGATCCACTCACAGAAATAACTATGGTCATAAAATATAACTTGAAATAGATATATAGTGATCATGTCTGCATGGTACTTACTCAGGTTCGGTATATGCTGCTTCATATCCATAAGCAGGATCATAGGTTTCCTATTGAATTGCAGAAGAATACATGTCAAAAATGAACACCTTTTCGTGTGCACAAGTTTAATTAAGAACAATGCACATACAAAAATTTTCTCAACGGAATTTGTGCCATATCTTATATTTTTCTATCAAAGCTACACATCCAAGTACTTCTGAGAGGGGTTTATTAACCACTTCAACCTAGATTGAGTGAGAAGGTCTAAGGTTTGACTTTGAATTAGATTATTTAGCACTTTAACACTATAAATACTTGACAGATATTMATTCTTTCTCTTCAGAGGATGTAAAAACCAAAAGTGTTAGCTCTTGTGCAAACATTAGTGTTAAAAATGGAATATTAAATACCTGTGCTGTGAACTGAAGTGTTTTTAAAACTAATTTTATATCCAACAGTGACTGTGCTTTAAGTTATGTGTTTATGTAAAAATATTTTTACATGGAATTTGTTGTTACTCATGTGTAATATTCAAGCATTCGATTCATGCATAACAATTCATATCATCAGCATACTGCATGCAACAGTTGTTAGGAAAAATCAACTGGCTAAATCAGCCTGCAGAACTTTAAAGTGTAGTTTACTAGTATTTTTAAAGTTCATTCTTTCTTTCATTTCAAAATGTTCAACATTTTTGAGAATCATGAAATATGATGCAGCTAAAGGTTGCTTAAGATAAACCAAGTTAAAAAATGAACGATAAGATATTTGAGCATTTCTTTGTATTTTGGTATCACTATTATAAATGAACTGCTTCAACAACCTTAAGATTATGAATTTAATTACAGAGCTTTTGGGCTAAGCACCTATCATCAAGGTATAATGTTTGGAGCGGCATTCAACGGTTTTATACCAATGAAATATTGGTATGACCGTGTTAAAAATGAGAACTAATAAACTCTTCCTTTACCACTGAAATGGTAAATCCTTTATGAGGATAATTTAAGTTAAACATTTAGCAATCAAGGGGTATAGCCCTGTATTATCAAGTTAGGTATTTGAAACATTTAAAATGCTCTAAATAAAACTTACGTGCACACGCAATGACTGTACATGCTCAGCTTGAGGTGGTTCATTTTGAACAAGAAGAGCATGCATACCCTGCATAAATTGATATAAAACAATCATTCATATTTATTCTTTAGTTTCATAAATTTAAAACTTGAAGGTTAAAAGACTGTTTTCTAGTTCTATTTATTGGGTTATTTCTTTTCTAGAAATTATAGAGGAATAAACAATGTTATATGATTTTTTATAAAATATTTCATAAAGAATGATAAAAAAAAAATTCTTATGATTATGGATTTATAGTTATTTATTAGAGTAAGATCATCGTGTGAATATAAAATCTTTTAGATAATTTGGTTTATTTTKTGTGTTCCAAATTTGTGCTTTTTTATTTTCTTGTGAACATTTTATCTTTCATTTTAAGTTTGTTAAATAAACACTGAAAAATATTTGTTTGAGTAGCATAAAAAGCAATTAGATTTTTTAAATGTAATTTTTAGCCTTTTTTGTTTTGGTCGATAGCATTGTTAGGGAATTTAAATCCCCTCAATATAAGCCCTCTCAAAAATGAGCCACCCTTCAGAATATAAGCCCTCTCAAAAATGAGCCACCCTTCAGAATATAAGCCCTCTCAAAAATGAGCCACCCTTCAGAATATAAGCCCTCTCAAAAATTAGCCTGACAAAAAGGTACCTTGGTCTAATACATGAATAAGCCTGGGCTAACTTTCATAGGTTTATGGTATCCTACCATTTTACCTTAAATATTATTAATGCATGCACTATAAGCATGTATCATGGTGTCAGAACATTAGCAAGCCCAACCAATGAATGATTAGATATACCAATTATAATCTACTTTGGTCAATAAACTAGAACTAGATAGTGTGGGTGGGTGTTTGTGGCTTGAATCCTATCCACATCATGAGTAAGATAAAACCAGCTTGCATAAYGTTTTCATAAGAGACTAAGGCCTTTTCCACATTTATCTGGAAATTTTTGTATCCGCAATTTTTTTTTCGGATACGGGTTGCGTCCACATGTGTCCTCAAATTTTTGTGACAGTATCCGCAAATCCTAAGAAAACAGACACGTGTGGACGGTGAAAATGATTGGAATACGCTTGGTGTGGACGCAAACATTTTCGTATCCGCAAAAAAATTTTTGTGGATACAAAAATTTTCAGATATGTGTGGGCGGGGCCTAAAACTATACAGATAGGTTTGCTTAAAGTAAAGCAATATGATACTACTTACGCCATAGGGATCCACCCCAGGTTGTGCCTGTCCTCTGGGAGCAGGATGTGCCATAGTTGGTGATGACGGCAAACCAGCTGCTGATCTGACTGTTACTGACATAGGTCCCTGCTGTACCCTTCGTAATGCCAAAGGATGGCCCTGTCTTGTTATAATTCCTCTTGCTGGGACTTGATGAGTTATTGGAGCTTGCGCCACTCTTGGACGGGCACGTCCTCTACCAGCTGTGGGTGCAGGTGCTGGTTGGGTTCCAGCTTGACTGGTTGGGGGAGGGTCATCCATGGAATTAAGTATGGCCATCTCTCGCATTTGTTCCTGGTGAATTTCATCATTTGTTTCCTAGAAAGGCAATAAAAAAACAACATAATAATAAAGTAATGAACTACTTTAACCATGTGGCTGCCATCTTGAATTGCAAGGCATTAAGGGTGGCCTATGGGACGAAAAAAAAAAAGAAGGCGATGATGAAAATRATGGTCTCAACATCTTTCAGAAATTTGCTTATTTTTGGAACTGGCCATTTCTCATTCAGCTCCTGATATTACTGTGAACTGTTAAAGCCAATCAATGCCATTACTGTACCTTTGACAACTCATAATGGCTGCAGCTTCGTCCAAGTAGTCCACTTCATTTTTAACATGAAAACTGGATGCACTCTCAGGACTTGTGAGTAGATGCTTATAAAAAGTTAATGTTTTTGATTAAATACTTACAGGAATAAGGAATTTTTTAATTTCTTCTATTGCGATACCCAAACGAGCATGTGCTTGGCCTGGTGGAGCTTCTACTTCGATAAGAACATGCAAATCTTCAGAAAGATGATTATACTTTGCATCTCCTGTTGCCTTTAGCTCTTCTTCCTACCAAGTACAAAAAAGTATGCACCAAATATTATTATCATGGCCAGACTAATTTCTAAGGGAGTAGGGAACAACTCATAGGAAATAGGGAGCACGAATAACAGTCAAGTCGCCCGGAGTTGTGGTCAAGTCGCCCGCAATGTATGGTTGGGGTCGTACGTCATAATGGTTAATAATTGCCAAAAACTAATCTAAAATGCCTTACAAATGTTTAACAAAGCTTTAATACTGCTAAGTAAGTTATATATGTGTTACTGGTTTGACGATTCCTTAAGTAAAAAACTCCGGGCGACTTGACCAAACATTGCGGGTGACTTGACCACGACTCCGGGCGACTTGACTCTCGAGCATCTTGACTGGATACTGGGAGCACAATTTCATTTGGTTATCCAAGCCACAGTAAAGGTTTAATCAAGGACATAAGGCATATCTAAATACATAGATAACTTACCTTTTCTTTATCTCTCATTGAACCTTTCCCTAAAATAGACATCTTTGTTCCTGTACTGTTTTGTAGCCTTTTGAATGTGTTCCCTCGTGGACCCAGTAGCTTACCGACAAAGTTAAACTGAATACAAGAATATTAGAAAAAAGATTAACCAATCGTAGAAAAATAAAAGATAAGGTGAAAACAATTGTCGTCTTATGGGACCCGATTCATAGGGGAGGGGTGGGTGGGGTCATGCCCAATACCCACTACCTCTGAAAGGAAAATCCTGGATTTTGTACTCAAATATCTCTAAAGAGAAAAGTCAAATCAAAGAAATAAAATGTTATCTGTTTGTATGTATGCTAAGCAATACATTACGAGCACCCAGTATCGAGCATTTCAACAGGTCTCTGAGGAGAAATAGCAAGTTTACCACTATCTACCTCGTAAAGCAATAAACTCAGGTCCCTTTGTTGAAACTGTTTTTATTTCGTATCTAAAATGATGGCTATTTTAATTTGTATTTCATAAAAGAAATAAAAATCTTGCTGTTGCTCTGTGTGGAGCACTTGGGGATTGGCAGAACATTCGAGAAGTGTCGAGAAGGCACTCCGCTACGTGTCGTGCTTTTCCAAACACTTCTCTCGTGTTCTGCCAGCCCCTGCGTGTTTTATRACTGCACACATTAACTATTACTCCAATATAACACTGTAAAGCTTCATGAAAAGATTTATAACAAAAGAAAGTTTAACAATGACAGTAAAGCTACGGACACACGGTGCAACATTGCGTGCATGCATGCCATTTATATTGCAAGCCATGACACAYGACACAATTTGTTGCAATGTTGCTGAAGTAGAAAACTATCCTACTTCAGCAACATTGCCTGCAATGTTGCGCTCAATGTTGCACCATGTGTTATCGCCTTAAAAATATCTAATAACAGTATAAATATCTAATGAACTCATTGTCCATACCTTAGGATGTTCTTTAGTGGGGATAAAGACTTTCTCAGATAATTTTACTGGCTGGTAGAGTTTATTTTCTTCTGGTGGGTGTGCTCTTCGATAATGTCTAGGTTCTCTAGGTTCTCTGGGTTCTCTGAGTTCTCTTGGCTCTGGATGCAGTCTCGGAATGACTGCATCTTGTAGATTACCCTCACTTCCTTCATTTGATGGTGTACCATTAATATTTTCGTCTTCTTTGCTTCGAGGAGAAACAACTGGAGGTGACCCCCCACCCTGCATTCTGTTTATTTCTGGAGGGAAACATACAGTTCAGTGAATATCAATCAAGAAGCATACATAAGGTTATGTGAAAAGTTATACGTTATCATAATAGTATTATTTCGTTTAATGGTTGATCTGGAGTTAGCTGTGCCCTGACTAAGATCAGCCCAGAGGTTGTTTGAGGAATCAATCTGTGAGTTAGCCATGCTCTTACCTAGATTGCAGCTGTTTCAAGGCCTTGATAAAATTTGAAGTTTGAATTATTAAATTTTTTGGCTAGACAAACACTCTCTTTATGCTTTGTGTCGTCAAATTAACCATTATGAGTAAATGMAAGTGCTTACATTATTGATTTTGAAAGGAAAAATAAATGAAATTTTCGTAAAAATATAAAAAATATACCACAAAATGCCAATGACAATAGAGCCACCTTACCTAGAAAATGTGGTATAACATTATATATACCATACATCTATTGCCCATAATCCACGTACGACTTATTTATTATTGATAACTAATTAAGGGTTTTTCATACATTAGAATCAAAACAATGACTAGGGTATTAAAAACAATCCCACAAAAATACAGCCAGATCAGACAAAACCTCACTAGGTTAATCGTACCTGGGAGTAAATTAAGCTCTTAAATCTTGTAGAGTGAAAATTTTCATTTTCGTGAAAGATTTAAACACGATTTCCAATGATTTTTAAATTATGGGTATTACTTTTGAAGAATTTTGATTTTCATTCTTACGAAAAAGAAAATATGAAGTTAAAGACCAGATTTTTAGCGTTTACAAAAGGCTCTAGAGTATAATTCTACTAGATAAAGAAATTAGAACTTCAACAATAGTTGAACAGAGAGGAAAGAAAATCAAAGATGGCGTCCCCTTATACACAAAGCAAAACCATTATGGCGATCATAGAATAAAAATGTTTAAAAAAGACACCAAATAACTCATAACGAGAAGTGCTTTATCAATTTTCATTGACATAAAGTAGATTAGAACATAATTTTTATGTTCAAAAAACGGTACCGAAATCTGTTGTGACTACAGAAGTGGTGACCGAGTCTTCGGGCAAAAATGCTAGAATATGATTTCAAGGCAATTAACCATTTCAAACGACGCCGAGAAGACAGCGTAAAGTAAGCGTTTCGATTAGTTTAAGGAATGTTGGTTAAAGTTTGTGAACAGTGGTTTTGCATACCGATCGAGTCAAGCAACGCTCGAAGGATCTCGTCTTCTCGCGTTTTTGATCTTTTCACCTTCCTGCACTGCTGATCAATCCCACATTTTCAAATAAAATCTTCTCAAGTATAGCCTAAAGGAGGTTTTATTTCTATCTTAGAGCATTCAAGAATGAATCTATGCTCAAGAATTGGCTCATATTAATAAATAAAGAAGGTCACCAGAAAAGTTTGATGTTTGTACTGGTGGAGGAATGCAGTTTGCCTCAACACTTACCTCGCGTTAAAAGCCTCATACAGTGAACAAAAGACGGGTCTAAACTATCTTTCTCGGCTAAAAGTTCWGATAAATAGCCAGCCTCAGACTCCATGGTCATAATTTGAGTAAAAAAATAAGACTATAGTATTTAAAAGTGAAGGCTTGAGGAGTTATTATTGGGCTAATTCAAAATGGCGCGAACAGCGAACATAGATCACACACCAGTCGCGATACCGTGGAAGATCACTTCGGCATCTCTCATCTGATTGGCTGGTTTAGCGTGGTCCTTGACTTTGATTGGTTATTTCGATTCCTTTGTTAGTCAAATTTATTTCAGTTTCCAGCCGTCAAAAAATCGAAACCGTTTTCTCTATGTTTTTCCGCGTTTTAGGGTATTTATCGAGTTTTATTAGTGTATTCATATTCCGCTCCATYGTAAGCTGTGTTTTCCTAAATATCATAAAGAGGAAAGCGAAAAATGAAATAATTGAAAAGTGGATGTGGTCAAATTCAAAATGAAATCCCCAACGGGCCAAATGCATCAACTCTTTTACACACCGCGTTTTTAGTGCTAACAATTCCCACTAGAAGGAGCCGGGCTAAGTATGAAGTAAAGAACACTCTCTTGTACTGCAGGCCACCACGTAGAACACATAGCAGGAGTTTGTTTTATTTTGATTCGAGGGCAGAGGAGGACCTACTAGTATCCCAAGTGCCTTTGCGCGCTCATTAATTATTGTTTTCTTTGACTTTCGACACTGGATTATTTGAGCCTTTTTGTAACTATACTTCTACCACTAATATTACTCATACTAAGGTGTGTGATTAAGATTGTGTCGATCTGTGAGTTACAAATGCCCTGACTTATAGATCAGCCTAGAGGTTGTTTCAGGGTTCTGTGAGTTAGCCGCGCCCTGACTTAGATCAGCCCAGAGGTTGTTTCAGGGCTCGATCTGTGGCTTTCGCAGTTTCCTGACTTAGATCAGCCCAGAGGTACCCTTACGTAGGGGCATAGAGATTTTGAATCGCCATTTTTCATTCCAATGACATTTTTATATACAAATATATATCTATTTCAAACTAGCCAAGTAATTTAGATGCTTGATGATTATTTAGATGATTTTAATTTGAGTAGCTGGTGGGACGTAATGTAAGACCAAAAATAATAGGTCATTTAGAGGTCTTAGCTGCTTCCTTGGTTGTTATTGTTGTTGTTCGTCCGTCCGTGCGTTCGTTTTATTTATTTATTTCGATTCATTGCATTTCACTAGCTACATTTTAACAGAAGTCCATGGACTTCGTTTTCTATTTTATCCGGCTTTTTTCCAATGTTTTTTTTCTCTAGTCCGTGGTATCCTAAAAGAAATCGTGCGTTCTGATTGAACTGATTGGCTGTTGGAGCGGGCGGTAAACAAAAACAAAACAACCCTCGGGAACAGTTTTTCCATATCTGGACCTCCTGGACGGTAAATGACCTCGATATAGTTTATTATTTACCTTTACTATTGTTTATCTTGAACTTTTGTCTTTTGTCTGCCCATTCATTTGTTTCATTGATGTTGTTGTTGTTGTTGTTGTTGTTGTTGTTGTTGTTGTTATTTTTCGGACCTACTTTGTTTGGGCGTGGCGAGGCTTTCATAACTACAACTGTCTTATGGGAAATTACTTTACTAAGGATTGAGAATAAAAATTGTGCTGGAGTTTGTTTTCCTTCAGTGTTAAGATTGATTGTCGCGCTTGATCATCAGGCTCTTAGATCTGTGTGATTGGCAGTAAGTCAACCGTGTGGTACACTTGAGACAACTTGTCAGAACGTGTGGCACTGAACATACTAACACGAGACCTGTTAGAAAAAGAAACRAAAGAAAGCAGACAAACGCATGAGAGAAAAAGGGAAACAGAATTAAGACGAAAAAAAACCTGGCGAAAATGGCAAATGAAATTTTTTTGAGATTACGAAGTGATACGGAGGAGGATAAACAAGAAAGAAATTCCTTTGTAAAGGTGGCTGATATGAGGGTTAGGAAACGGAATTTTGTCCGAAACTTGTTTTTTTTCCCAATGTTGTTGCCGAATTCTTTTTCACGAAGACGAAAGCATGGAAATCAAACTTCCAACTGTGAGTCTGTCGAAAATTTACTACAGAAGCAGGACTGCACAGAGAAAGACGAAGAAACAGAGAAA